ATACATATATGTAATTGCTTCGTTATATATACATATATATATATATATACATAGGTACACCAATGGTTCTGCTTACTGGCCAACCAACAAGAATAACAAAAACAATCATAAGCGCAACAAAAACCACAAGCTGACCGAATCAGCAGTTACGGGAGTGGGCAAACAGTGCAAAATGGAATTGAACAAAAAAGCGTTAAATTAAGCAAAAATATTTCTATTCATAAACATCTTTCCATACCATGACTACTTGTAACAACAACAACAACAAATAAGCACACATATTACATATTTGCGATTATTTTGCGAAATAATTTGCTGCTTCGCTGATTCCACCTCGCATAGTTGCTTGGGCTTTGGGCTATTGTTGTTGTAATTGTTTCGTTGTTCGTTCATTTTTCGCCGCAAGCGAAATAGTAAAACGCAATGAGAATTATCATTATAAAAAAACATTGATCAACAGTTATGCTTTAATATACAGAAACAATATGGAATAATCTCGCCTTAAATTAGTGCGCTTTGGTTTCGCACTTCTGCGGCAAGTTTTGTACTATATTTATTCTTTTCTCGTGTTGGATTAACTATTTTTCAATTTGTTGCGGTTATAAATTAAAATAATTACGAAAATATAAAAGTAATTAAGTCAGTCGATGATGTGGCAGAGAGTGGTTCTCGATAGTAAGCTATCTATCAACCAAGCGTGGCAACTATAACAATATAATATTTGTATTTTGAATTGCGTATGGCTACAGATCTAAGCATGCTTGAAAATACGTACATTGTGGAGAAGTACTATTTAAACATTGCTTTTTTAATATCTTAATGTTTAGTCGATTTAAATTAATTTCCTGTACATTAAAGTACACGCCCAGTGTGAAATAGAAAAAAATCGATTTTTTTAATATATCGATAGTCTTGCATATACCTATAAAAATAACATACTTAAATTTCAAATGAATATTTCGAATATTTTTTGAGTTATTCAAAATAAGTTACAGTGTTGTGAATACCCACGCTTCGAAAAATGGGCTCACAGATCCTCCACGATTCCGGCTGATTGGCTTATCAGCAACAAAAAAAAATAGAGGTTTTTTATTCTGCAAGCCCAAATGCATATAATGAACTATTATCAAATGAATATACCAAAAATTGGACTTTTGGTAGATATATGAGAAAAAAACGCGAATTCGGCGTTTTTTTTATTGTTTTCGATGCGTTTACATACCCTACGAATTTCAAGTTATTCGCGAGTTTTAGGTTTTAAGTCCACTTAGAACCGCTCTGAATAGCTCCTTCTTCTAACTGCTGTATCTTTAAAACGACTTAAAATTTTAAAAATTGCTTTACTGCCGTATTCTAGACATGTTAAGAAAGCAATTTATGAAATAAAAAATAAATCGCATTATATGGGATGATCCCCTTAAGTGTAGCAGTACAGTTAAATCACATCTATCAGTTCATCTTTACAATACAAGATGCATTAAAATGTAAGCAGTCAGTTTGTTAGTACTTGTAATACCCTACACAAGTGCATTTTTTGTTGCATAAAAGCGTATAATTGAATTGGATCGGTAATTTTAAACGGCAGCTGGTATATGCTATGCTCGTAATTGTCCGATCTGTACAATATATTCTCTAAGATTGTAGCGTTGCTTTCGACAATAATCTATACCAAATTTCGTGAAGGTACCTTGTCAAATAAAAAAATTTCTATATAGAGACTTGAGTTGGATCGGTCTGTTATGTAGCAATTATATTCTATAGTTGTCCGATATCGGCATTTCCGACAAACAAGCAGCTTCTTGATCTAGTTCAGATCGATATCTCAAAAACTGAGATGCTAGTTCGAGTATATACAGACGTATGCACAGACGGATAGCGCGACGAACAAACAGACATGGCTAAATCGACTCAGCTAATTAAGCTGATCATTTATATATATACTTTATACGCTTTCGACGTTTCCTTTTGGGTGTTACAAACATCGTGGCAAACTTAATATACGCTGTTCAGGTTATAAAAAAAATTCCAAAAATTCGTTTCCACCAAGTATTACAAGAAAAACGATATATCAATTTTGGTAAATTATTAAATTAATAATTTAAAAATATTCGTAAATAAATAAAAAATAGGAAAGGTATAAATAAACCTTAAACATATCCAACGTATTCGTACTCCAAAACTTATAAAAAAACTTCTTGAGAAGTTGCTGATTTTGACATTTCTCTGTTCTATAAAAAAGGATGGGAGTAATACATAATATTCTGAATATAACGAATGTCGACTTAGTTGCCTTTGACCAGTAGTCGATTGCCATTCATAATGCAAATTGGTAAATGATGTAATTGGAAAACAAAGTGCGAAATTACACAAGCCCTTTTTCTTAGAGCTCTTAAAATGTGTCATTGTATCCTGTTGCTTTATCCATTTGACATATGAAGTCTTTGAAAAGCTTTCCGTAAAATATTTAGTTGATTTTTTAGACGTTTTACTCGAAATCATTAAGTGAGAGCTATACTATGTGCTAATGGTTTTAAAGAAGATTTAACCCATGATGTTCATGGAGTTCTTGAATAATTCATACAGAATCAAGTTAGTACTTATTTATACTATATGTAATTTATTCAGTCAAAAAACCTAAAATCGAAATATTACAATACGCAGGATTCGATCAGAAGCCCATCAATTTTTCAGTAGCCTATTATATTCTGAACTTTTTTTGAACTTCTGGCAACACTGATGACATTTATTGCATTTTGAAATCGAAGTCGAGACCTCTCAATGACGAAAGCAAAACACTAAGTTCGATTTTTCCAACCGAATCAAGCATTCATATTATTTTCACCAGGATAAACTATCTTTGTCTCCTTCGATTTTAAACTAAAAACAACCTTGTAAATTTCCTTACTGAATCAAAAAAAAACTCTCTGCCACACGCGCACCTAATTAAAGCTGTTGCAATCTACTGCCAAATTGGGAATAACTCAGGAAAAGAGGCTGATCTCAAGTGCGCGCTGAAAAAACTCAACGCAGACGATATTTCCATTTTAGTCAATTTGCCACTGACCTTCCACAACATGCCTCAAGGTTATTGCAATAGCTACTTTACGACCGCGACAGCGACGGCGTACAACTTTTTCATGCTGTCAAGCAGTGCCGCCGCACAGCGAATTGGAATTCTGTGTCGCACCACACTCACACACATACAAATTTATGTGCATATGTAAAAATGTAAATAAAAATGGAGGCAAGTGTGATTTGGGTGTGTGTGTGTGTGTGTGTGTGCTTTCCTGAGAACGTTGATGCTCGTAAAAATGTCGCATCCGTTAGCTTCATTTCCAATAATGGACTGTTGCATGGCAGCTTGTTGGCATATTATATGCGTTGTTGGCCGCCAAGGTGCGCTCGCTGTCTTCCGCGGCGATTTGTTGCCAACAATGTGTTGACGATGTGTTGCCTGATACGCAAGCATAGCTGCTACTGCTGCAATCATTATTGTTGTTGTGATTTTTGTTGTTGGTTTTATTGTTGCTGTTTATATTATTCAACGGCATGGAAATTTTCTCTCGCAGTGATTACAACCACAACAACAACAAGTTGCTGGCACGGCAAGTGTGTCAGTGCGGTCGGGAGCCACTTCCACTTTTGTGCCGGCGCGCAATTACTGGCCACCACACGAGTGGCAAATATACACATGTAAATGCGTTGCATGGAAATTGCAGCAGTAAATACTGGCAATAGCAACAACAGCGGCAATGGTTTTTAAGCGACAACCTGTTGTCCTCTCATCGCTAATATTTTTATGATCTGAATGCCTTTTATTATTTTTAGTTTTCCTGCACCTACATTTATGAAAAAAAATATTTTTTGTGCTTCGGCAAAAATTTAATTTCTATTTTCCTTTTTGTGTGTGTGAACTTTTGTTGGCTTCTGGGTTTCCTCTTAACTATTTATTTGCTGAAAAATCATGTTAATTTCCTGTCGCTTGCATTTTAGTGTCAACTTTAGTTAGCACAACAACAAGAATAATTAATAGCGCTAACAAGTATATGGGGAAATCCGGAAAAGCTGAAATTTCCACTCAAGTTGAAGGAGGTCAGTGGAGTAGGCGCTTCGTAAAATAAATATTAAATATTAGTGGGTAATTTCAAGTTTGGAAAATATTTAAATTCAAGAACGAGAATTAGAATGAGAATTAGAGCTAAAGAAAGTAAGAAAATTTTTATTCTGTAGCAAAATGTAGATTAATCGTAATTTTGGCTTCGATGATAACAAAAACGTTTATACTAAAATATTTTAGTATAATGCTGTAAGTAAAAACAATTTCATTTGTATATTTAATTAAAACAAAGTACTTCTCAGCAACCTTATTATACTTGTAGTAGACCAAACAGTCCATATTGACTAAAAACTGTGTAACTGCTCTTTTGAGGAATTGGTAGTCCACATTGAAAAATCCTCAAAACTCGGTAATATGTATGAGCTGAACGACTATATATATAATATTATATATACATGTGTATTCAGAGGATATACATAGGATCAATCCTTAGCTCCTAAATTTAACAGAATCTACCATATATATATTGTTATATAATAAGTGCGACCTCTTGCTTTCTTAATTCTGCCTTCGAAAGTATAAACTATTAAGATCATATACGAATTTATAGCAATATTGTGAAGATCTTTTAGAAGATAGCAGACAACGAAAGTTTTAAGACTTTCTATCGGAAAGAAAATTAATTTCAGAACCAAAACTTTGACTTATTTTTGAGCAAAACATATATCTGGAGAAATTTTTTTTTTTTAAATCAACCGGATTAGCACTTGTAGAACAAACAACTTAAGATAATAAGGCAATACAGAAGATGAATCAAAATTGATAGGTGTATTCGTTTAGAACATAACTAAACCTAAAAGAGATTGAATCATATAGATATGTTATATGTTTATTTATTTAAAAATATATTTTAGTTAGTTATAAATTTTAGGAAATAACTCACCTTTAAGCTTTAACTTTACTTTTAACTAAACTCAGCTTATTAATAAATCTTATGGGGTTTATAAATCTGCTGCTCCAAAAATAATAGCGTATTTTAAACAAATACGTTAGTTTTTTCACTGAAATTAAAAAAAGAAAAGAAAATGTCCAATTAGGGGTAAAATAATAACATTTGTCTTATTGTATCGTATTGTATAGTTCTTATAAAAATTTGAGTTAGAGTGAAAATTTAAAAAAAAAAATTAGAATTGAAAAAGTAAACAAAACTATTTACCTGTGACATCAAGTCGAATTAAATCAAGGGATGAACTTGAAATTATTATGAAAATGAGATCACACCACTTGATTATATATGACTCGGGCTGATTAAAAAACTATAAAATATTTTCACGTATTTTAGTATAAATCTTTATTATCATCCTAAAAATAGGGTCATGAGCCAATGCAAGCATGCTAAGGCCTAATCGAATTTTCCATACACTTGGCTTAAGCCACGGCTGGGATAGCCTTCGGCTCTTTTTTGGAGTGCCATTCCCTAGATTGTTGGACAGTTTCACGTCATATTGATAAACCTACGTCTGGTCACCAGTAATGATGCATAGGATGAATGAAGCGTATTCAGCTACACTGTCAAGTATATCTCTTCGACCTCTACTCGACTTGCACCTTTGCAAGAGATTCAGCTATTTTAGCACGAGTCTAGACTGACACACTTCATACCCGATGCATTAACCAAAATGTTTTGATTCGATCCATAAGAGATGTTGAAATCCTCTATTATCTCTCTGATACCAACACGATGTTTTTAAGCATTGTTTGTTTAACTTTTTAGATGTTACGGATTCCGTAGTCGTGATTTTAGTAAAAACACAAACTTTCAAAAAAAACCGTATCATATTTTTTTCGATAGTAAAATCGGTTTTCTCAATCTAGAAAGAAAATTCGATTCGAATGCAAATGTTTGGCTAGCTAACCCATCTATTTTGAGGTTTAGCACATAGTGGAGGTGAAAACTGAAATTAACTGAATAAAATATACTATCAGCCTAAAAAAGTCTTATCATAATTATCATATTTTTCAAAAAATATATTAATTGGTTGAAACGATTACCAAGTGTGTTATAGATATAAGCGAAATGGAAAAATAACGTTAATTTAAATAATCGACCAGTATCGACTGCTTTCGTGACCAAATTAAAAGTGAAATAAAAATAAAACAACATACTCATTAAATAATCGGTGTTTAAAGACAGCATTTAATAATAGCACAATAAATTAAAAGTCAATAAAACTGCAATAAATTACAAATTTCATAAATAAAGGTGAGCTCTAGCCGGTATAACGAACACAAAACTGAGAGTTATTCTTTTAATTACCCAACAATTAACGATTGTTGTAAGCAATTTACAACAACAACTTCACAATAATAAAGTCACACAACAAACTAAACAATCTGGACAGCAAGGCGATAATGTCACTAGCAATATTACTGTAAATCAGCGCGAGTAATGGGAATAATATGTACATTAGGGTCAGCCAAAAACAAACTAATAATGAATTTATGAGTTAAAATTAAGCAATATACAGAAAAAAACTTACCCCTACAAAGACAAGATTTTTAGCTTAATATAATATTACAAGGTGTTGGTGAGCTTTCAAAGATTCACATTTAAATAACACGTAAAAAAATATATTTTTCATAAAAAATACTGTAACATATGAACCGTTTTGAATAGAATTTCTTGTAACGCGGATTATTGTAGAGCACAAAATTTTCTAAAGAAATTTCCTCAAGTAATTTTTTTCAATTCAAAAATTCTTATTTTTAAAAGCTTTAAAAAGCTGTATATAAGTTCATTTAGTTTAACCTATAAATTCAGTGTTAGTTTTCTTGAACTCACCTTAAGGAATATAACGTATATATGTATATGTATATATCGGTAAGTACGTAGCATGTATTACTGTAAAATATGTGTTACGCATTTAATGCACTGTGCGACAATTACCGCCCTCCTTCCCATCCCATTAACTAACCACCGCACAAAAACGCAGCAATTTTATTATAGTTTTGTTGCAATTGTTGCTACTGTAAGTTATTATACAACAGAGCGCTTACATGCGAATAACAAAAACTACAATAGCAGCGATAATTTTTGCACAGTTTGCACACATTCAGTTGTTCGCCTTCCCTTTGTGTGTCATTATGAATCTATTAGCCGGCATTTTGCCCGAGGAATGTTGAAATGCCGTAAAGCGAATTGGTTTGAATGCTCAATCGGCGCTTGCCGCGCTCTGAGCTTGCCACTGAAATGTGTGCGTGTGTGTGCGAAATGGCAGTTGAATAAATTTATTGCATTAAAGAAGTGGATTTGATTAAAATTGCCGCAAAAAGAAAAAAATAACATATACTTGAGCTGCATAGAGCGTTCGGCCTGTCAAAGTTGCAGAGCATTTATCGCAAAAAGATAGAAAGATAGCATCTGGCAGAGACAACTGGTCAGTTGATAAATATAAGAACGCAACTACAGACATATTTATCTATAAAGAAAATATTATATTCTTATAGACATATGTATGCATGAATCTATGTAAGGGTATTTTCCAATAAACCGAATTATTTATGCGCGAGTTTGCGCTTCGAGCGACATTAATTGCATTGCAAATGAGCTAGCATTTTTTTGTAATCATTGAGCAACCAGAAAACATAAAAAACATTTGTGCATATTTATATGCGACATAAATCATTCATAATTTGACAAGTATTAATAAATTATACGCAATAAAGAACAATCTAATTATTAAGAGTATGGTTAGAAAGAGAAATATGAAATTGGTATGAATTTAGGCGCAAAAAAAAATTAAATAACTAAATATATATTTCAGTAATATTTTTGGAAATCGTTTTCTTTATATTTGATCTGAATATTAGTTATTTGTTGTATGATGTTTTTATAGGAAAAATACTTAAAATACGTCGGGGTGTTTTTCACACAAATTCACTGTCGTCCTAAATGTAGGCAATACGAAAAACATTACGTTGTACTTACGTACTAATATACGTATATTTTGATGATTATACATACAAAATATTTTCGGATCTGGTCTATATATTTTTTTATTTTATATATTTATGTTGCAGTAAATTGCCTACAAAACCATGAGCTTTACAATTTAAAATGAACTTTTTGTCATTTAGATATGAAATTCGAAAATATCGTAAAATACCACTTTGTAGAGCATTCAATTTCAAAATATAAGACTTTACAATAAAGAGTTCATACTTGGAAATATTTCCTTAATACTTCTCTTAGTCCCCATATACCTAATATTAAAACAGCGCCTTTATCTGGTAATGATATATCGTGATGCTAAAAATTAATAAAATTTGGATCAAATATAACCTAATATAACAATTTCAAATTTCCGTTTGGCTTTATATATATATCGGTAAGATATCTTGGTAAGATTAAGCGAACGTATAATATTGGATATACTATAGTTTAATGCCTAAAATGTATGAAATCAGTTCACGAATTATCTCAGCTATCATATACTACCTATAATGATTTTTGTGTGTGAGTTATATTCATAAACTAGTGTGGAAACATGTTTCAGAATATACTTGCATAATGCCAAAAGTTAATGCAGTCAGTGCGGACCTTCCCCTAATCCCAATATACCCGATATAGTGATTTGATATATAATATTCTAATGAATTGATCTTCTGGTAAATTTTTTTTCTCATAACTCATTTATTTAGCCACTTTAGTTGAGTTTATATCACATAAATTCATCTCATTTGAACTACTTGTAAGTGATTCTATGGTATACAATGTATGTTCAAAATTCAACACAAATAATTTCCTAATTTTTTTCACGCGTGTTATGTATTTTGCCAATACTTATACCATTTTATACAAACATTTTTTTAGTTATCTGTAACTATACATTCTTCAAGTTGTTCATTGAATTTTATGACAATATTAAGAAATCTGAATGAATTTTTGAACAAATGCAAAATAAATTATTATTTAAAAAAATGCCTTTGTTTAATATGACTATTTAAGATCAAACGAGTAGGTAGGCTCAATTCAAACCATACCGGTTTCACCAAATGGCTGTAATTTGATAATACTACGGATATATGGCACAATACACTGTTATGAATAGAGTTCAAATATGAGAAACATGAATGGCTATTATGTAAAAAAAAGTTCAAAAAAGAATTAAATGATCTGTCCATGCTTGAGCATTCTATTATTAAAAGAAGTATAAAATAGCAACATTTTTATGCTAATTATCTTTTTGCGATGCCACATTAAGCCGAAATACACTTGTGTGCTAATTTTGATTGAAGCGATTGGAGCCGAATTATGCAAAGTGATTATGCCAAATTTTGTAGTATTTAGTTTGCAGGTCTCTCCAAAATTTGGTCATCGTTCTTTAGCTTTATCTAATGCATATTAAATTAGTAAAATTGTTTTTTATTGTAATAATGCAAATTTTTATAATCTTCACTGTGACACTTAACATAAATCCATATATTAATTTGAGCAGCAGAATAAAGCAGAGAAATAATTTTATAGGTTAACAACTGAAATACAGCGCTGTAGCGCTCACGTATCTTCGTATACACTTTAAGAAAAATACCAGTGGCGAAGAAAGTTACACAATCAATATACAAGTTTCCAAATTCGTCCTAATTAATTTTTTTCTCCATTTAAGTTCGCGAAATTTTGATTTTGTGCGATTTCCTCCGTGGGCTACTGAAGTGGTTAAAATTATTTGAATTTTTGGAAACATATTAATTTTTTGCTGCTGAAAAAAATTATTACAAATATAACTACAAACTAGCAACAATTTAAATTTCAACGAAATAAGAAGATATTTTTACATTAAAAAAAAAAGTATTTTATTTATTAACATTTTTTCTTTCTTTTTTGTTGTTACCAACCACTTAAGCATTGTATTTCCTTCACTTAATTTATTTAAATAATTGTGAATGGATAATGACTTTGTGGCGCATATTAAACTGACAGCAGCCGCCCACATCGCACGCCAACTCTGCCATATTCGGTTCAAATGCAAATATTCGAATTCAAATTTAACCACTACACATA